AAAGTCCAAATATCTCATACAACCTTGGCCGCTGCCACATTCAATTCAAGTACGCAGCTACGCCTAGCACATCTCGGGGATTTTGAGTGTGCATAGCTTTTGTCAACGTTATAACCCCATACTCGCCGAAACGTCAGCCGAATAAAGACTTCTTAACAATCTTGGTGTCGAGCTTAACCAATCTGCTGACAGTACTAAATCCCATACTATTTTCTTTCATGGCGCTCGGAAAACCCAATACTCTCGTGTCCTCCTAGAGAATTCGTGTAATCCTCAAAATACAGAACGAATTTCAGACGACACCTCACTGGACTCCTGGATCAAGTCGGGGCTACCATGCCTTGACTTATGGATTCATTGTCGATCAGCTGATCAGACGGCTGCACCCCAAAGCCTACACTGTTCCACAGATTTATCAAGAAGAAATATGGGAAGAAGGTGAAATGAACAGCTTGTGCAAACGATCAGATCTATACATTTGTAACTTCAGGCGTTGATTTCTTCTTTGGAAGTAAGAATGTGGACCAGCGCCGAATAGCTCACGTGTCAAATCCGTCCATCTTGCAGTCAATCGCCGCTCATGCCAGAAGACCTTTTAAGTGGGTTTTGCTAATGTTTCGATTACTGCGAAGGGTCAAACCTACTTCTGACCTTGTTGAACGCTCGATGAGCAAAGATCGGAAGCCGTCGTGCCTTCCCCAGTGGAGGGTTCCTCCTAAGGCATCAAAAGGCGGGCCTATTATTTGAAGGTCCTCTATTTCCTCTCTCCATTCGTAGAAAAGGGGAACGAGCGAACTGGGTTTTCCCTTTCCGAATCCACTCACACAGTTTAGGTCATATTTCATGCAGATGTACAAAAGTCCCTCAAGGCTTGAACTTTGCCGATTCAATAATGTCGTTCTCAAAGGAGCCGGCTAACCCTTTTCGAGTATTTCATTGCCGTTTACTTCTCAGTTATGACCTTTCTTTGGAAATGAAGTAGGTTGAAAAAGTATTCTGTTTGCTTTGATTTGATAACTGTTGTTCAACGATGCAGTGTGCGCTCCAAAAGTTATTACAAGAGTGCTGAGTATGGGCAGAAATCGGACCCCAGACGGGACTCCAACCGGCATATCCCGTTTACCAGACGTTTGCGTTATCCAGTACGCCTCCCAGCTCAATGCCTGCCAATGTTCTATTTG